CCCGATGCAGTTTGCAAAACTTTCGCGATAGTACGAAATTAAAGCACATCGTACGTGCACAAACGTTGCACCACTTCAGTTCTCCTTAAAGAGAGATATAAATCTGTGCATGAAGTGTCCTTTGTGCATTCTACAAAGATCCCTATAGTTCATCGTGTAAGCGAGCAGGGAAATTAATCTGTTTCAACGTACCTCTCGAGAACATTCCGACACATACCATAGCCGTCCGATACATCAGAGGATTAAGTCATGTCCGTGAGATTAATATAATTTATATTTGCATAGCGTACCTATATATATATATATAGGTAGTAGATCTAACAATAAAATATACTTGCCCGGGCCTTCGAGAAAACGTATCGCATAAATTTCGTGACGAATTCACAATCAGCAGGCGTATATAGCTCTCGGAGAATTCATGTAGCTCGAATTGCTTTTATATTACGCCGTTTATGAAGACCGTTGACGAAATTCCATTCCGAGGATGATGTATCGCCGATCGTGAGCTGAACCGCGCGAGATCAGATTACGGGTAAGGACATCTTGCTGCGGTCATCTGGGACGAAGTTCCAGTGCAAGCGAATTATACACCGGGCCCTTTCGGCCGAGGGACGGACACAGATAGAGAGAAAAAGAGAGAGAAAGAGAGAGAGAGAGAGAGAGAGAGAGAGAGAAAGAGAGAGAGAGAGAGAGAGCAGCATGTTCCTCGCCTCGATATATCGGCGCGACTATTTAGCGCCGCTAACGAGTGCTGGGTACCGACCGCCGTCGGTATACGAACGATCTATACACGTATGGCGCGTTATCCCATGAATGGAGCCCGCAATCTCGTCTCTGGATCTCCCAACGTGGCCGGCGGGGCCAGCGAAGTGAACAGTTGGCCGACGGAGAGCCTGCTCCACTCGCGGCAATGCGAGCTACCGTTTGAGATTAGCATCTTTTATGCATATACATGGGAGACCTGCAGGCGGACGGACGCGCGGGCGGGCGCGGGCGCCGCGCGCACGACTACCCAATTCCGCCTCGCAGCGAGGGAAGTTTATCTATACGTACGTACGGTGAATGCACACACAGCCGCGGTGCATTCGCGGCGGGTCCAGGAGCTCCGGGACTCTCTCCTTCTTGGCTCTCTCGGCTCTGTCACGACCTCGCTTACGCCTGTCGAGCCCTTCTCGCGCCGACATCATCGTATTACCCCGCGCATCTTGTGCATCTCCTCGGCCTTTATGCCGCTCCATGCCTTCGGGAAGTGGCCTCCCGATCTTATCTCGCGACTCGTCTCCTTCGGAGAGCGGATCCCCCCTCCGGTTTAAGGGCCCACAGCTGCGTCTATACGATCGCGCTCATTCAGTACGCGTATAACTCGTGAAACCGCAGTTGAATCCCGCGTAGAACGTACATGCGGTCCCGCTCGACGCGGGACACCTTCCGGGTGACACTCGGGTGGGTGACGGGGTAATTACACGGGTCTCTCTCCCCAGGGGAGAACTTGTCGTCGCGCTCTCTCGCGAAAGGAATCGTTGAAAACCCGGTCGTCACTGATGGTCGACGTAGCGTGCGCGCGCTAACGACGGTCGATCGCGATTAATTTCCGCGATTAATTATTAAACGATTAGTTGCTAACTAGAAGGACTTTGGGAATCTCGCCTCCCGATGAGACTGGGTGCCGCCCCATGAAATATGTAAATTCGAGAACATCGGATATTCATTACGTTTAGGTAAGCGGTAAATTTGAATAAGCGGCGCGCGAATTTCTAATTTTTCTCGTTAGAAAACTAACATTCTCTACCGATGTGAATTCTTATTAAATTCACGCGAAATTCATGGATTCGTAGAGAGGCATGAGACGAAAGAAATTGAATAATTTCGGCGATACAATCTGCATTATACGATGAAATTGAAAGCCATAATTTGACTTTCATACTGCCATTCATTCACAGTTGCGAAAGCGATTGTGTGTCGCCCGCAACGTGCAATAAGGCCTAAGAGCGTTCCTTGTTAAAATGCAATTATTCCGGCGCGTATCCAGCATTGTTAACCGACGTTGCGTGCGAACACTCTCGGCGTGCCCGCTGCGAAAATGATTTGTAGGTCTGTGCCTATGATAAACCGTGTACTTTATCGATAAAGGATCGCGTGGGCGATCGAAGGCACTTTCCGGACACCTTGGGTGCTATGGAGTAATTGTGCCGAACGTACCGGGGAAATAGGCGTTAAGCGTAGGAGCTATCGAAAGAGTCGGCAGCAACTGACTTTCTGGATCACTGCTTCATTCATAAATTTGCGTTTGATTCAACAGCGAGTTTTTCATATTTTTATACTCTTAAGACATAACTTAAAGAGAGAGAATCGAGGAATTTCCCCGATAAATTATAATTAAGATGAAACCGCGCGCTTTATTTGAGCAGAGAAGACTTTTTGTTACTCCCGATCGATTTGGCTTATTGAAGAAAGAATATCGCATCGTATTGCCCGTATAAAAATTGACGAAGGCCATTAGATTTTAGTATATGGAAGGGAATTGTACCTATATAAAAAACGATCGGATCGAACGATCTGTTTTTTTTTTTGCATTTCGATTTAGCGCTGTTTACGCGTTCGTAAAGTACCGCCGATATAATAACGGGCGTGCACCTCGGGGTCTTTCGTTGTTTTGCCATACGATATTAGCAATACATCCGTATCTTTACGCGGCACGTGAGGACATTTATATAAAAATGCATTCGCGCGCACAAGCCGCGATTATCTCGCTCCAAGTGCGCCTTACGAACGGTATTGTCGGCTCTGAAATTTGTACGTACGACAGCACCGGGGACATTCGCGTGCCTGGAAATATGAAAGTTTTTCCACCGCGTTCAGAGAGAGAGACACACACACACACCCAGGCCACTGCCCCGTAATCGTATTCACGGTATTCGCGTCGTTCTGGGACGAACTTTGAATACCGGTTTTCCGTTTCTCGACATGCGCCGACTGTGAGCCAATTTATATGCAAAATTATCTCGCGCGGTAACACATGTTCAAAAGGCATGGACGACCATAAAAAATTACATTATCACATCGTCACGCGCAAAATTTGTATGCAAAAGCGTACGGGCGCGATATCGTGCGCCACGGATAGGAAGCATCGCGCGCGCGCACCGAAAAACGCTGCATTTATTCATGCCCGTCTGTTTTTTCTCAAGGTCGGCCGAAAAATTCAAGACGGTAATAAACCGCGACGCGGATCCCGGATGCGCGACTTTAAAACCGGCGATCGGCGGCCGCGCCGGGGCGTGTTTACGCGCGCACGGACGATATGTCAAATTACATTTACGCATACCGTCGTCCGTATATATACGCTTTGTACCAACGTTTTCTTTATGCATTCGTAATTACCCCGTCGCGCGTTCTACCGTAATCACATGAAATTGGCGACTTAATTAGAAATCTACTAAAAAGAAAATGGGACATAATAACTGCGCCGTAATTAATCCCGCGATCCCGGGCGTAGACATCAAAGCGACAAGAGTCGAAGTCCCGATCGGACATGCGTCGCGCGATTGATTTGTCAAAGTGGATCGCAATTATTTTCGGCATCCGATTCATCGATCCATCAATGCGCCTTTCGTAAATGTACCACTTGAACGTAGCCAATGATTTGCGTAATAATGACAGATTATTATACATTGCAGCGTGTTCTGTACCCGGATATATCGGTCTTTAAGATAATCGCTTTTATATTTCCGCGCTGCGTGATTTAGCGCAGCGTAATAATGAGATACATGGCGCCAGATGATTAATATTTGAGTCTATAGTAAAATTTAAAGCATTGAACGTTGAACGTCAAAAATGTTAACGAACTCGGAATTTCGATATTAATCTTGAGATGAGGAATTACGGCAGCGGGATCTGAGGCTAGAGAGTTTGCACCGCCTTTGATTGCGCAATGCTAAAACCAGTAAATCACATTTTTCTAGCTATTCGATAAATAATCATTTCGAAGAAATCCATTTGCTGCCGTGGCTGCCAATCCGTGGCCTGCCAATTGCTTACGCAATGCTATTTTCCGCGAATATTTTTAAACTTGTCCAAAGGTATCTGCTATTGTAAAAGATCCGCCACTAAACGATAGACATTACTTCGATCTTACACTCGCATCAAGTTCGTACTTGGAAAAATCCACCCGTTAAATTATGCATCCGCCGAGAAGGGTACGAAAGTCCGCCGTCGGCGAAAGTAATCCGTCGCGTCGCGGCGCAACAACGCAAAGACAGACGACGACGACGTTATGCAAATGAGCCGACTTTATTAAACGAATCGACAGGATCGAGCGAAACGAGTCGCCGGCACTCGCCGGTTCGTTTGTTCATTTTTCGGTGGAATCGCAAAAATAGCGGGATTATGCAAATACGGGCGTTTATCCGTCCGGGGGCCCGGCAGCACTCGTCGATCTTCCACGGTCGTTATAACGCGAAGATGTTCAGCAAACGTCGCGAAAATCGCACTCGTTAATCTCCCGGGGCGTTCTTATCGGTCCGGCGTTATGAATTAAAGCCAGTCGCCGTCGGGGCACAACCGACCAGCGCAAGAGTTTAAATAACGAATGTGATCACGTAATAACAGGTCGATCGGCTTCTGTCCCAGCATAAACTCCGGTGCACGCGTATATAGCCGCACGTTTATTATCCACGTATAGATGAAAAAGCGTTTCGGGGGAGAAACCTGACTCTGCGCGGGCGTATCGAGGGAAAAGATCGGTCCTGCCCGCTGGATGGATTTATGCGTCACATTATTATTTGTGCTCTTTTCTCACCGACAGAGACAGAGTAACAATGTGGCATAATTGCTATCGTCACCACGTCAGAGAAACCACGTGCTTTTCGATTCTGTATTTTGCATAGCTAAATCGTATAATAAATTGTTGCGCGACACGCATAGCGTACTCGTATTAGTACAAACTGCGAATTCGCCCGATAGCAATCGGGTTGAGATAGCAAATTACTGTAATTAGCGTTGTGTCTGATCTCGCATGAATTTATTACGGCTCTGTTTTATTACATACGTCAAAAGCATTCCGGTATCTAAACGCAGATGTAAGTACCACCGGAATTTCCGCTTAAACGGCTACGAGGTAAACCATTCGGTATAAAGAGATCCAGCGTAAAGCGATAGACTGAAGGTATTGTCTTAAAGCGAATCATCATTATTCTGTAGAGGAGTAATTTAAGAGTAAAATCATTAATATTTAACAAAAAGTGATATAAATATATACTAATCTAGATATAAACATAAAATACTCTAAACTGATTATTTTTATGACTTAAATATCAAAATTGTTGCATATGCCCGAAATATCGGAGAACATATCACATAAATAATATATGATATCTTTTTATTATTTATTATTGTTAAAAAATTTAAATGAAATTTCTATCTTAAGCGATTTGCGTCTTTCTGAAGCATAAAATAATTTTTTGCAAAATATATTTCATTGTACATGAAAATGAAAAAGAGAAACAGATATATTAGATAATATTACGTTCAAGGAGTTGCAGAATTGTTGACTGTTTCTCTCTGTTTTGCCAAATTTAATTCTGTTTCATATCAATAAAATGATAATTCGTATGGAGAGCCATCGACCTACGAATATTTTATAAATATTCATTATATCGCTATGATTCATGTATTAAATATCGTTACAATGTTTTCGCGAGTACTCGAAAGTTTTGAAAATGCATGTAATTCGCACACAATATCCAAGTATTATAGGTCGGCTTAAAATCGGAAACGAGATTAGACATGAAAGAAATTGATATGCATAAATTAGAAAAAAATTAGAGGGATCGTTTGGGAAAAATTCGAGGGCACGATCGGTGCTCCCTATCCTATCGTAGGTGAACGGCATTGAATCCTTGTGCGCGATCACGAGAAGCTGTCAACTCGATAAAACGTCAGCGTAATCAAATCGCGGGAGCTGAAAACGTCAGGCGGCGACGTATCGCCGCGTTTCGGGGGTCCAATCAAGGTGGCATTGAATGCGTTTGTTACGAGGCCTCGCTCCGGCTCGCCCCACAACCGGGATAAGTGCATTATCGGGGCCCACGAATGCCGGCGACACGCACACACGTTACGAGAGACGTGCGCGGGCGTACGAATGAACGCTCGAATGGAAAATCCATAGGCGCTGCCGCTGTTCTCGCGTGTATTCTGCGATTCTAATGAGGCGTACAGTCGTCGTCATTTGCCGAGATTGGCGCGAAGGAGGGGAGGGCGGGCGGTGAGTGACGGAGCAAAAGGAAGACCGGGATCAGGCTCCATGAGAGAGAATTCAATCCCATAAAGTCGCGGCATAATAAGCAATTACTGCCGTTCCGTAGGAATTGCGCGTGGCGCGCCGCCGGGGTGGAAACTGCATTTGCGGAATCTCGATTAAATACATGTTACATACCATTAACCCTTTCAACCTGGTAGCATTGAAGCGTGTACGGAATTTCTGCGTTATAATCGTCGCGGCATTCCTACGAAGGTTGATGCTATTTAAACCGAATTTGGGAGAATTACGCGAGAGAAATTGTATCACAATTATGAAAAATTGAATTTCATAACATTTACGGCCAATATCCCGGACATTAACGATTTATAATCGATATTGTGTATTCAATCAGCATTGTTTAATTATGTAGAATTAAAATTAAATCAAAATTTCCAGTCACTAATAAAATATAAACGATGCGAAAAGGCAAAATTCATTTATATGTATTACGCGAATAATGTGAAATAATTATTATGGATTATGATATGCACAAAGAAAAGACGTAATTTTCATCTGGCTTTCACGGAAATGTAATAATTTCAATCCTCGGTAAAAAGTCATTGGTAATATGAAGATTATACGGAAGCTCTTTTTTCAGCGCGCGTCTCTTGCAAAAAGAATAATGGAGCTTAGACTCTCTTTTGTGATCGATCCATTTCACGGGCGTTATAGTCGGGCGACATCGCGATACATCTACGATCGAGGTTGCCGAGGCATCGACACGGTAACATCATCGATACCATTGAAACCGGATACTCTTGTTCACTGAACAGAACGATCTCTGAAAAACCCAGCTATCATTGATATCCCTACAGCTGAATCGCGCTTGCGTTAATAACGAGGAGCGTTTGGTTGGAAAAAAATAACGAGAACGTGTATATGGCGCGCGTAATACGAGTCTGACTCTAACGCGGAGATTCGCAAAATCTGTCTTCACCGAACGTTGAAATAAATCACTTTGGGAATAATGGTGCATCACAGTTACCTGATCCGAACGTATATTATTCTCTAAACGTACATAATTTTCTTTTAAACGTACTTTTCATACAAGATATATGGTACATAGATTTAGTCGGTAACATTTCAAACATGAAGACGTAATAATAAAATTTCAATTTTAATTTATTCGTTCATAAAAATTTCAAATTGCAAATATTACTTATTGAATATAATCTCTTTTTCATCGAAATTTAAAATTAAATTCAGACATACATATGTACATATACACACGTTAAATTTGACCGTGCATATATTATTTAATTATTACTATGAATAATAATATATATTTTATATACTTGTAACATAATAATAACTTCATTACTCTTTTTTAATTCATGATATATGAATTATAAGGATTTTGATATTCTGATTTTGTATTTAATTTTGCTGCAGTTGCAGATTTAGCTATGGATCACTTACTTAAGTTTCAACAATATTTGCAGGATCTTTAATTATTTATCATTCGCGTCAACTGACACGAGTCTCAGCAAAACGGACATCAATTTTAAACGGACACGGGAATTAGTTAAGTTTCCTCTAGTACTAAAGAAGTTTGACGAATCGCCGTACTTCCTATGCGAACTTTTAAATCACATCGCTTTATGCCCAAGTCTTGTACCGTCTTTCGAAATTTAAAATCTGCTCGTCGTATTCCGAGCGGGTAAGGCGAGAATTTACAGCCCGGTTTGGCAATGCGCACGTATGTGTATAAGTCTGAAATATGCTTCGAAGCTTATCCAATGTCACAGTCGACCAAGAAACATGCGTGCGAGGCAATAACGCAGCTCGTCTCTTTCTTCTGTTCGTATACCTTTTCGTTGACTTTCGATAGCTTGCCACCCGCTGGTAGATTACGAAAGCAATTCGCTTCGGTTTCGCTGTTATTTCATAATATAAATGTCCGGTGCATTCATGAATTTCTTTGAACGTCATTATATAAGGCGGTAGAAGAAGATGGAATTGACTGTGAGCGATTCTGATACATCTTGCGAAAGATTACTTCGCGGTATATATATTCGTCAGATCGTATCTAATAAGTAACTATCTAAATGTAAATTCCATGTACCTTAAACTCGAATTATTATTCATTCTGGTGTAAATTATGTTCTAATTTTAACTCTTAACGATATTGAAAAATGAGTTTCTCTAGTACATATAAGAATATAATTATTACTAAAATGCGCAATATAATAATTTATTGTTTTATCATCGACGTTAAAGTTTCGTAAATGTACCTTTATTTTTGCAATTAAGCTCTAAAAGTTTTCACTCAGTAAAATTTTTCTTTAACAGTTAGTGCATACATAGCGATGTGTGAAACGACACGCGTATACACCGTGAATTAATGCGGTACATTAACGTAATGAACTTTTTCCCCCTTCCCTCGCGAGAAAGTTCTGGCGAGATATCTCCGAATTACATAAATCGATATGCATCTGCGCCCGGGTCATAAATCAATAAATTCTTAACCCTCCTTCCGAGAGAGCGTCGACAAACAAAACACCCCGTTCCCGGTTCTCGCATATCTACACATAGTGCACACAAACATATACCCATCCCCGATTCCTTCCCGGAGCTGAATATGGCCTTAAGCAGCCGTTTTTTACACGCGTTAAAATGCACCCCTAGCAGGGAAGCTATGGCGCCCGAGCGGCGACAGCCCACCCTCACCTCCGGGGCGGCCCGGCCCCATGCCGTGTACCGTAGGACAGGGGCACCAGATAATTCTGTTTTAGTTTCGCATTACAACGCGAGGCACGGCAGCGAGACGGACTCCTCGTCCCATCAGGGCGACACCCTTCGCTCCTCACTGTTCGCCCCGTCCCCTTTTTCACTTTCTTCGGCGATCGCTCTGGGGCACCGTGCAGGAGAAGAAATTCGTTCTTTCCCTTTTTAACGTTATTCTTCGCCCGCTTTGTCTCGCGCGCGTGTTTCTCGCGTTATCCACCCTTGTCTTCTTCCCTCTCCCGCTTCTCTCTATTGCGACGGACACGAAAGTACCCGCGAGAGATAGCTGCCGAATAAGAATTTGACTAATGCAATCGCGGATGCTAAGAAGCCACTCTCGTCGGCTATTGTGCCACGTTATCTCCTTACTTTTACTCCCTATACTTTCTTCTTTTTTGCCCCTACGGCAAATAAAAAATAGCGAGAAAGACAGAGCGGCAATGCTATGAAGGACATTTTGTCGAAGGTATATTTATGCATTTTGTTAGAGGATGTAGAGCGTTGCGAAGGGAACGAAATTTGAATGTTTACATTGAATGACAATTCTTTCGGGAAGGTAAGAATGTTTTTCTTTGTGTGTGTGTGTAGGTTATATCTAAATTTTTGTATGTATAATTTTTTTTCTTCGTTATTCTTCACTCGAAATTGAAAATCCACAGAAAAAAGATAGATAGAGAGTTGAAGAGTAAATATTTTACATTTTAATATTAATAAACAATTTCATTTGATAATAACCGAGATTACTAAATAATTAATTAATTCTTGCTTGCTTAAATGCGGCTATGCTCAACGCAAAGAGCTAAATTGTGCGTCAAATAACTGATATTCAACGGTATCTACAATAGCGTGTCTCTTATTAGAGAAAGGGTTTCCTCTCGATTTCTGACCTCGAGATGGCATTAAGCTGAATTCCACGTTCGCCCGAATACATTCCACGGCCCATCCCGAAAAGCGAAACTCGCTTTTGGTCGGTACGTGAGACAGACGGAAGCAATTTCGAGTTTACGCCTCGACAAGCCCCTAGTGCGTATTGCGTAAGACGCACATCTCATTTTGCAGCAGTCAAATGTTTCCTCGCGAGAATGTGCATTTCTCTCTCTCTCTCTCTCTCTCTCTCTCTCTCTCTCGCTCTCTCTCTCTGCGACGCTTTTGCAAGATGACTCGACAAAAATTGCGCGACGTGTCGTAAGTTTGAAAGCTAAATCTTTGACGATCGTTAAACAAGCTACGTGCGAATTTGTTACTCGTTTGAAGAGTCGGACGAAGGTAAATCTTTGACAGGCAGCGTGATGCATTCCGGCGATTCGTCCAAACGCGAATTGTCTACCCATCGGCGGACAGGAATCGATCACAAACAAACAACGAATGGCCGACTGCGTTTTAAATATCGCAGCTCCGAATCCTCTTTTGACAGCTCGCGAGAATCTGAAACCATCGCACGCTATTCTCCGGGCGTTATGTGCACGTGCATTCGCAGGCAGAAATGTCCATCGGTTTTAGATTCCTCCTAGTGGAGAAAGAGAGAGAGAGAGAAAAACAATCGAAAGACCGAAATAATAGCCGCCGGCCGTCGAAAGTGAAACGGTCTGTGCAGTTGTGTAACAGGAAAATCGTAGTTTATGGCGTTGCATTGTCAAGTTTCTGTCATCGTGGTTACGTGCCTTAAATAACTGCCGAACCAGGCCCACGTAAGCATCAAGTATAAACCCTCCGTCTTCGATTTCTGACCTCGGCGCGGAATTAATCTGGATTCCGCGTACACTGGCACGCGGCGCGATTTCTCACCGACGATATTTCGCGCGTGGTCGATACGCGGCGGCAAATGGAACCAATCCCAAGTTTTATCCCGATAAATCGTGGCGCAAAATACTGCCCCTACCGTCGTGCAAAACGCGAATTTCGCTGCTGACTACGACGATGTTTCTTGTCTAAAGTGACACACCCAGAATGAGGCAGTAAATCTCGAATTACGTAAATGAGAATGCATGTCTTTTATAAATCTCGGGCAGTTGCTGCTTTTTTTTCAAGGTTATCTCTACCGCATTTTTCTTGAAATTTTGAAAACTATAAGTGGTTATAAGCTCATTAAGCCTAGAAATATAAATTGTAACGTGATACTTATTTATAATCACCGACTCTTAATTTGCTAAAATAAATAAATTTTTATGATTATAACAATAATTACATATAATTATCGTATTGTATTTCAAGATATTCTGAAGAAAGGGATATTACATATAAATAGATTCAAGGATATTATATTACAATTTATTAATATAATTAAAAGTATCGAAACTTCTCTGGGCCATAAGCGATTCTTTAATTTATAAAAAGAAGAAAACTTCTTATTTACCGTAATTATTCAATTTATTTCTCTTAAGAAAACTTCGATAAAAAGAACGACGAGAATAAATTACATATATAATTCTTCAAAAGTAATGTAAATTTTCTTTCTGGAATATAAATTCCAATTTGATATGCGATAGTCCACTCGCCTAAAATTACTTTGAGACACGAGAAACAGAATATTTCCTATATTTATTTTATAAAGTATTGAATATTTAACAGGTGGTAATAATAATAACGTTTTATGGTGATAATACTGGTGTACAACCTTGGTGTTTGTTGTACGGCGGTACATAATGTCGGTGCGCAAACAAGACCGTTCCGCGGCCGTGTTGTCATTCGCGCGCTACGAGATTTGAGCCGGTAGGTATAGTGGCGTGAGCCGCACCGCGCGTGTCATCCGTGTTATCATCCCACGAAATGTGATCATTCTCTACAAATAATTAGCGATTATCAGCTTGTACGTTAATTAACTTTACGATTAACAATTCGTAGACATATCAAGGCGACGGCTACGTATTAAAGCGGATATTTCTCACGATTTTTCTATTTCATACAAGACTCAAATAGTAAAGACCGTAAACTATCGTTCCGCTATGATATTTATGGGTAATAATTATCTTTTTAACGATTTATATAATTCACTTTGGCTCAGGTATACATCTCGTGTGACACATTAAAATTTTCGCCGATATAATGATACACCTCTGTTATCATTATGTGTAAGTTGAGAAAGCGAAATAATACATGCATAACTGGATAATTCAAGTTACAGAAAATGATGTTGATCTTTCATTAATAATTTCATGTATTTCGCGTGTTGCAGGTGATTAATATTGGGAATGCCATATGAGCCATATCGCGCGAGCATCATATTCATCGGTAATTAGTTCGCGATACGTTCACACTAACACGTTTTGCTAGTGTTCGGCCGTGTGAATGCAACCGAAAGGACCTTGATAGAAGGCCTGGGAGGCCTTGGGCGACGACGGAACGATCATGAGGTGAGAAATTATGCTAAGGTATATCATCTCATTGATCCATTGACTTGGAATAGATGAATTAGAGCATGATTAGCGCGAATGTTTAATCCTGAGACATGTGTAATCGTCCGCGAATTTATTATGCACACAAGAATGCACACATACGAAGCTCACAGGATAAAGCTTTATTGCTATCGATGCATTATAGACCAGTTTAATTATTATTGACACATTTCAGTGTAATATTAATTAACGAAATAGTAATTATGAAATGTGCAAACTGTGTTTGAAGTTTATAATAAATTTAAACTCGCAAACTCGTATATATATCATGTATATGTATATGTATGTATATCAATGAAGAAGTGGATCGATGCTCATCAGTGCTCATTTTTTTTAATGTATCGATAATTACGTGATTTTCCGTTGACTATAACTTCTCCACGGATACAACCTTGAAGTAGTAGAGGGACTCAGTATCCTGAAGAGCTCAATGCCCTAATGATGAGCAAGCTAACATAAGCTCATCGTCGCCGATTTAACTGAACAAATGAGCCACAGTCGGTTCGAAGCGTTAACTTTGGGAGTGTCGCACAAAGTATCGCGCGATCATAGTTATCCGCGTTTTCACGAGTGTTGTGTTAAGGAAGTCCTACGGCACTGACAACTCGACAGAACACGGTCATTAATTGATTGTTACATATATTGTGTTATATCGAAAGTATTGAAAGTATCGTCTTTAATCAAACCGTTTAAATATTTAATAATTAGAAAACAACGGCACACACGGGGAATGTCGCGTCGAGGAAATTTAACGAAGCTCTCGGATAACCTGAGAGGAGGAGGAATCTACGAGAAATAATTTGACATAAAATAATAATATTGACGTACACACTTATACATACACATGTATATATTGTACATATATAAACTAGCTTCGTCATTATATGTATATATACATATAAACTAGCTTCATCATTAGCTAACAGCGAGTACGCAAGAACGACTTCGAGCGTCGTCCTCTGGCGTCTCATTCCGTCGCGTTCCAGCCGGTTTCTATAGCGTTGGGAGACGTTCCTTCCGCAATGCGACCTGCATGCGAAGGGTGTGCACAGTCCGGGTGGAGAGGGTGGTTAATCCATCCCCCGCCGTGAGTCACGCGCTAGCATGGAATTTACGAGGCGCAGCGTCGTCGTCGCGCCTTGGCTCCTCTGATCCGTAGGATTATCTCTCTCTCGGTCCGACTGCGCCCGGTCCCCACGCGCGTCGGCGTCGCGGCCCACTGACGCTCGATTATTATGCGATCAAAATGTGGCGCCTAGTTAGGCGGCTCCTCTCCCCTCTTAATTATAAGGGGCTGATCGATTCGATAGATCCGACCAAATGTACCCCATCGTTGTTACACGTTACGTTACAACTACGGTATAAAGAAGGGCGGTATATATTGTCCGCGTGTGCGTAACCTGCCGTACGTTGAATTATTCGACGCTCGCACTCGGCTTATACTCGGTACCAATACGTTCGTTCGTCGGGGAATTCTCTACGTACAAGGAAGAACTTGTTACGCCGGTGCATGAGCATATGCGAGCGTATGCCGAGAATGCCTCGATAGATTTCTACATCTCGATATGATTGATTCAACACGCGGCGCGAGTCACGGATATCGCGATTGTGTACACGCGGCTTGTGACACAGTTGACTCGATCAACTGAATTCAGGTATGTTGACTCAGCGAGATTTGACACACATGTCAAGATACACATATTCATCCGCCATACCCTTGATATATATGTCAAGGTATGGTGTCTCGTTAACTCGATAACGTCATTTCAGTCAATTGTTCAAATTATCCCGGCTAATTATCAGCGTCATAGAGGTTGTATAATTACCTCCGCTGAGGAGATTCTACGGCTCGTTTGTTGTGTAGCCTTGTTAAACGGTATCGCTGGAATGTAACATTTCCGGAGAGAGAACTTATTTATTTCACGAGAATCATTAAAAGTTTATTGCTCGTTAGAAAATTATTCCGTCTGTTGGACAACTCTTTTATGTTATTATTCTATCAACACTTTGCAGATAATCTGTCAAAATGGCATAGCTGCTGTTCACATGGGCATAATTGTCGCGTATTATTCGTACTCGTATTTCGCGGAAATGCACGCACGCCACGCATGTTTCTGAGCTCGGTAAAATATTATACAAGATGGGAAGACCGCGAACATTTAATTACTGGCAATCAATCTTTGTAGCTATCGCCATCGGTGCTGCTAGTGCCACCCAAGGTTATCTGCTCCGAGCCCGCTCTGCTCTCCCCTTCCTCTCGTGCGGCAGCAACGATCGATTATTAAACCATTGCATCGGAATACGGTGGCTTGTTTATCCCCCTTAATTACGTCGCGCTGATCGATAGAATCGATTTTCGTGAATTTACCCTACAAAATTGTGGACCTACTACGAAGGGGACCGCGGTCGCCTCTGTGTTATCTGCAACTCTGAGGAATACCATACGCCACTGCGCCGGGATAGATAAGACGCCGCGGTTAAATAAATAATTACACGTTAACGGACTTTTCGCGGCTTCCGCCGTCTCAATGAAAAGAATAAATATAGTGGCTTATCAATTATCACGATTTTTTCAAACCGTTAATAATTTTAATAAAAATTAATAACGAGCAAATAAAAAAAATCATACATGTTGCTACGTGATCGTAATGCTTAAAGAAGCACAGCGCATAGCATTTTAATATTTTACCGCGCAATTTGTTCATCACTGTAATTCATTTAATGAGATAATTTCAAAGCTTACGTCGCTTTCAAACGAATATTAATGTCCACGAAGAAGAAAACATGATATCTTCTTTGTCGATTAAACATTAATTTCCGCCGTTTGTTACAAAGCGCGAATCAGCATTACTCTGTCTGCGTTATCAGTCTCCATTATCATTTTATTACCGTCCGTGAAAATGAAGGAATGAAATTGCATCGCGCCGGTCATACGTACCTATAGTGTTAGAGTTGTGCGCAAATTGATGAGTCTGTCGGTGACATTTCGATTGATTCATCAATACCGAATGGAAATAATAAGCTTTGCCAAGTAATCTATCATGAAAATACTATTATCGAATGATTCGCCGACAAAGATGTAATGCAGAGCAAGTGAATATTTCACGCATTGAATATTCTAATTGTGAAAATCCGCGGCGCATTATCATGAGCGCGGCAATGCAGATTAATAACTGTCGATACGGAAATACCTATTTCAATCTATCGACTCGTGAAATAAAATCCAATATCATGCCTGCCAAGTGCAGTGTTATGTCATTTAGGCGATTTTCCGGGAATAGAGGAAATGTAAATGCAGTAAATGCCTGCGCACAGTTAGGTGGATCGTTATATTCCATTTCGTCTATCCGAGTGAATTAATTACTTTGTCAAAACTTAGCGAGGCTCGCAATGTCGCGCGATTGAAATTACGAGTGTGCGATGAACCGTAAAATGGACGACGCAGTCGGGGGATAGCATCGTGGTTTTCTTATTAAAAAAAGGCGACATCGTGACTCTACGCGCTCAACCTGTCGTTCTGCGCGACGTAGAAAATATATTCCGCTAGGATCTCCCCCCCCCCCTCTCCTGCGGCTGGTTCCCGGGGGAATATGCGATCCCAAGGCACGTCGTATAATGCGCCGGAGTGACGCATCGGCGGAGTCTGCATAACTGCATATATATATCCCTATAGCGATTCGCATCATGCAACCGGGGAGCTTCGTTCTTGCTCCTCGTCCATCACCACATCCACCCTCGCCGCTCGTGTCTACTCGTTGCATAGGCAGGGAGGGGTCGGTCGCGCAAAAAGGCGATCAACCCCTGACGAGATAAACGGCGGCCTGTTCAATTGTTAAATTCTTGACCCTACGTGAGGGTGGCGCAGAGGACGTGAAGTCATTTAACGTTGAAAAATGTCTGTAGCGCCCTCTTGGGAAGGGATATTCGTGCCTACTGCGTAATTATTGTTAATTGCGAAAGGGCTGATAATTGTTTCGGAAATAATATGAGTAGGTATATAGGTATTGCTGAATATCTTTAAAAAAAGGTCTATAGAGATATAGAAATTACCTAATTTAGAAATTTTTCGTCTTACTGTTTGCAATAAATTTTCTAAGAGAACATGAACTAGAATAATGAGATGCAGTCTCGTTTGAAAAGACTGAGACTGCACTTCTTAAATTATTGGGTTTAATATTTACAACTCAATACTTAGCTAATACTTGCCAAGCGAATTACCGCTTTATGCAAACGGCATTGGCTTCCAGGAACGCTTACGTACAATAAGCAGGTGTCATAACGTTTACGCCGCGTCGCGATAATAACTTTACATTGTAAAACTCGCGAGCCAATCCTTTTAATTTGCCTCAGTCACGGCAATAGTATGAGGATTTCTCTTTTTACGGCGTTCGTGAATGCCGAATGGCGTGTGTTGTTTTCATAATTGCACGAAATACAAATGTTTCCAGGTCGTTGACTCATTTTAGATCTGAATTATGAACGACGCGACATAATGTCACGTAGCACCGTAATCTAAGATGTACACAGACGTGTTTTCTGTACGCCACGAAATGACCGATTGTCGTCTGTGCCTTGCGAAAAATTGGATACGAAATAGTACAATATGGATATTAGAAGATTAGATTCTTTCGAAGAACTCAACGTTGACGTCGCGATTTTGCAAACACCTCCCCACAATCGAGCAAGGGAACTCCCCCGTAACTCAAATCTCGTTTCTCCGAGTACTCTCGCGGAAAGAGACATCACTCCGACTTTCAGCCTGAGATTAGACGCATTTTTGGTCGTTACTTTTTTGCCATCGCGCAATTTATTTGGTCCCCCTGCCCCCTCCCTCCCTTCCGCCACCCTCGGTAGACAGTGACCACCGTGTAAAAACATGTGCACGTTGATGTGCGTGTATGCAAGATAGACGTGGAAAAAAGGAACGAATGGCCGGGTCTGCAGAACCCACGTAATCC